TATAAAGTTAGCAAAGAACAAGAAAGCCGTTGGCCCTGATAAAATACCGACAGAGATGTTAAAGCTTATAAATGAGAACATTGGAATACTGGTCAAACTTTTCAATGATGTTTATTCGACTGGTGATATCCCTGAAGATTGGTTAAAGTCTGAATTCATAACACTACCAAAAAAACAACGTCTGAAAAACTGTAGCGATTATAGAATGATAAGCCTTATGAGCCACACTTTGAAAATATTTCTACGCATCATCCACAGTAGAATCAGAGATAAATGTGAAGAAGATCAGGATGAAACACAATTTGGCTTCAGAAATGGACTGGGAACTCGGGACGCCCTCTTTGCACTAAATGTATTACTGCAGAAATGTCGAGATCAAAGGAAAGACGTCTTTGCTGTATTTATTGACTATGAAAAGGCCTTTGATCGAGTACAGCATCACAAATTAATTACAATATTAAAAGATAAAGGAGTTGATAGTCAAGACATACGATTCATAGAAAAGTTATACTGGCGTCAAACAGCGACAGCTTGCATAAACGGAAAATCAACAGAAATATGTAAAATACAAAGAGGTGTCAGACAGGGTTGTATACTATCCTCACTGTTATTTAATTTATATTCAGATAGAATTTTTAAAGAAGCGCTGCATAATTTGGAATGGGGCGTGAAGGTTAATGGAATTCTGATAAATACAATCAGATATGCAGACGATACAGTTATTTTAAGTGATGACATGAATGGATTACAATGCCTTTTAAATGCCATTGATACAGTGGGAAGAGAGTTTGGCCTAAACATAAACTGTTCAAAAACAAAACACATGGTGTGTAGCCGTTTAGCACATCAAGATGCACGATTATATGTTGATGGTCATATAATTCAAAGAGTGTCCAGTTTTAAATATCTTGGTTGCCATATTACTGAACAACTAGATCCAGATCAAGAGATAAAATGTAGAATCGAGATAGGCCACACGACATTTTAAAAAATGAGGTCCTTCTTCTGTAATGATAACTTGCAACTTCAACTTCAAAAGCGTATGGTTAAATGCTACATTTGGTCAGTCCTCTTATACGGTGTCGAAGCATGGACATTAAAAATATCCACCATTAATCGTCTGGAGGCCTTTGAAATGTGGCTGCACAGATGTATACTAAAAATCCCATGGACGGCTATGCTGACAAATGTGGCAGTCCTTGAGAGAGCAAATGCTGCTCGCGAGCTGCTTGATAACATTAAATGTAGAAAGATGGCCTATTTTGTACACGTAGTAAGGGGAGACCGATATATTTTTTAACTTATTATGATGGGTAAAATCGAATGACACAGAGGAATTGGTAGAAAGCAGGCCTCTTGGTTGAAGAATATCAGAGAGTGGACAGGAATAAAGAAAGCTGAGCAACTCTTTAGAGTAGCTCGAGTCAGAGAGTTTCGCCATGTTAATCGCCAACGTCAAGGGGACTTGATGGGGCACGTTAAGAAGATAATCAAGGATTTTTAGGTCAGTCTGGCAAGACTCGCCCGAGTGGGAGATGTACAAGGGGAGTAAATTTGTTTAGTTTTAATAAAAAGTTGGAAATATCTGTTGGTAATATTAATGTTGGCATTAGAATAACCCGTGAATAAAAGTTGGAAGTTTCTGAGCGGAATCAATAACATAAGGAGCCTAAGCAATATCTACTTTATCCTTGTTCCCTTAGGTACATATATTGATGCTATCCTGCTTAAGATTCAAACATTTTTAGTTTTTCCACACATACAATACTTTCCTCACAATGTCTAAACATAATCTTAAGGGTATACCATACTTCAACCCCAACATATTGATGTTTACTACCGTATAAGCAACAATAATTAAATTTTTTAAGAATTTCTCAACATTGCATTGACACTGCTTTGTTCATGCATCCGTTCAAAAACTGTCATGTTAATTAGTTGCCATCTACAACCAATTCAGAGGGAAAGTAACAACTCCTATTGGGAGTTCTACGTTGCCATGCAGGATATCTGTTAAAACATCACATCTTTTCAAACAAATATGCAAAATATAATAAATTTTGTAACTTTTTAAAAGTGGCTTGTCTCATGTATACCTGGTAAGTAATTAACCACATTGCTTTTTCAACCTTAGTCAAAATTTTACCTTTACATTTGCATTCACCAAAGTAGTAATACTTATTCTCATTAATAATACACTGAAGGTGGACTTTCTAGTCCAAAAACGTTCTATGATGTAACCCGAAAGGGTCATTTTAATTATATACCGTTTATAAAGGATTTTTAAATAAAACTTTTGTGATGCATGGTATACAGCCCCAAATACAGGAATTTCATTTTTCATGTGGATTTTAACCAAAAAGATGTTTTTTGACATGTGGCATATTCCAATTCATTTATTCATTTAACCCGAAAGGGTCATTTTAATTATATACCTTTTATAAAAGATTTTTAAATAAAACTTTTGTGATGCATGGTATACAGCCCCAACTACAGGAATTTCATTTTTCATGTGGATTTTAACCAAAAAGATGTTTTTTGACAATTCATTTATTAAAGGGAATGGTTTAAAAACAACAACTATTCTGTTTAAATTATTTTATTAGGTACATTACAATATAACATATATGTTGCTATAGTATTTCATACATCATACGCATGTAAATCATTAACAATAAAAAAATGACAATTCTAAACTACGTTTTGAAAAAACTGCACAATCACCTATCAGGTAAATATTTCCCAGTTTATATGTACACCGCATGTAAATTACCAAGCCACGGCTATAGCTTCCATGTATTTCAATTAAAATAAAATTACTTTCATATCAATTTTTACTTGACTAACTTGCCCATATAACTTTTTGACAATGAAGTTCTTGAGACAAATGGTACTAAAAAGATTACAATGGAAATTTTTTATTTTAATTAGAAATAAGGGGTATTTAGCGGTGAGCTGTTAATCATTTACATGCGACACCCATTTAATGCAGACAAATAAAAATATATGCCATATTTATAAGTATTAGAATAAAATTTGTGCCTCAAGCAGTTATTGCTACTTTTTTAAAAAGCAGCAATATTTGCTTCACAGAAATCTAGACAGCTTGAGATAAATAAAAATGCTACATCAATGCTTAAAATTGTGCCCTGAAAAATTCAAATTATACAGGCAATGATTTAACAGATTTTTCAATTATATATTTATTTTGTCTGTGGTATTTTCCTATTAATATAAAAACATTCAGGCACGACCCAGAGCGGTTCTAACCTTAGAATTTCAATAATAAAAAAAGGAAATTCCAGATTAGGGGATTAATGATATAGAAGAAAAGCCAAATCACAAATCAGTCTGCTGCACACTTTCTTCCTTGAGGAATAGGAATCAGTAATCAACAATAACGATCCTGATAAATAAATAGTATGCATTCACAAAAGTCCTGGTAAAAGATAAATGCATTTTTCTTTGGTATGATTACATTAGTCTTTATAGTAACTTTATAGTTACTTTTATAAAAATTAGAATTAGAATTTATAGATACAATAAGTAATGTACTTGTTATCAATGAAAATGTAATGAATCAAGGGAAAACATCAATCATGTATTGATGATATGTTAAAGCTTATCTTGACTATAGGTGGCAGTCAACAGAGAACATTTAGTTGAACCAGTAATGTTGAGTATGTAGGAACATCCACTATTCTATTTCTAAGACCGTTACAATGTTAATTAAATTTTTTTCAAAAATGTACAAGGAAAAAGTATACAACACAGTGCATCAAATGAAACTGCCAACAATTTTGAGCCCTTAATACTTGGATGGATGTATTTCCAATTAAGAATTATTTTATAAATTGCCAACAGTGACATAAGGTATTTGTGATTTTCTAGCTTATCTTAATGAACCCTACTCCAAAGTCTTCCAACGCACACAATTGTTTGTTCTCATATTCACTAACTTTCACACTCGAATAAATAATTTAAAATTATACACTTAGTTTTAATGGCAATATGCCCCGCGATACGGTATGAAATTTTATAAAAAGACGTTGAAAATATCACGGGAGATACACCGTATTATGCTTGTGCAATCAAAATAAAAAAAATAAGTGAAATTTAGCTTTTTAAAAAAATGTTCATACCACTTACATTCAAGCAGAAGCTATATAGTCATGTGGGGGATGATAAAACCTTAAAGATTTCTAAAAAACAAGACGAAAAAACATCATCAGAGGAACATATATGTACAGAACTGCGATGTCATAGAAAAAACACTGAGGTAAATAAAAAAGTGTTGATAAAAAAAGTATTAGCAAAATGGAACACTGTTCTTTCCAAAAATTTTATAGGCAGTATCTCAAACAATTTGATTCATAACCTGCCTGTTGTTCAATCAAAGGAACCACGCCACAATCCACTCTATCATTGGTCTTTTTTGTTTGTTTGTGACGCTAAGTTGAGATTATGGCACACTTTCAACATTTGGTTAAAATTTGTAAGACTAGTTTTATCATATCTGCTATTTTTTTGTTCAGAAGCAGATTTTTTTGTTCTTCGCCAAAGGAAGTTTTTACGCAGCTGGCCCTTTATTTTATTAAAAGAGAGTGATTTGAGAGACTGGCTCAACTGGATAAAAACAGTTCAGGATAAAGTACGGTATTTGTTTTAACTAGCTTGGTCATATGTTTGTACTTGGAACTAACCAAAATGAAAAACGGTACGCTATTTGGCGTACGCACTGAACAACCAATATCCTCTTATTTCTCACCTACATCATCAAATCAACAGAAACAATACTGATTTATTAACTTAAATGATATTAAATACTATACACAACATACATGGGCCAGCGCCAAAAATTTGTAGAATTGTCACAAAAAATAACGACTTAAAAATTAAAGAAAATACATCACAAAGCTAGACACATTTATGCTATATAACAGAAATAAGATAATAAAAAAGCAAAGAATATTGAAAAAATAGAACTATATATAGTACACTTAAAATAAAAAAGTTTCGATTTGAATAAATGCAATGTAAACAGATATTGTGATGCAGGTGAGAAATTTAACGTTTTTTGGCATCACTATCTTAATTCCAAATGCGTAGGAAACTGTCCCACGAACCTGTCCCCACTGCCATTCCATTATCTGTAACTCCTAAACAACTAACGCGATTATCGTGACCAGCTAATATACCTGAAACAAAAAAAAAATCAATCATCAAATTGAGCAAAATTGACTGTGACAAAAAAACTTTTGAATAAGAAAATGTGAAAATACTAAATTGAGTCATCAATTAATATTTGTATTAAGTTTCAACTAATATTTGTATCAAATTCAATTTTTAAATTTCTAACGATATAAATAAGTTACCAGTAATAGTAAGCTACATAGTATAAAGTTTTAAAAACATGTCAAGGTAAGGTTCATTCAATCACTGCATATTTTTTAGTATTATATGAATGTATTGTTAATTTATGACTGCGCTATTGAAATTATCTTTGATAGTTTAGCACATTCAAATATTTCTATACCTCGTTTTTAAACTAGGATAAGTAATTCAAATTTACCGCGTCATAATGATTGTTTAAATTGAGCAGTTTGGATGCAAAAATGGACATTTTCCATTTTTATTCCTTGTTCTCTAGTTTACGTTTTATCCTTATCTTAAAATTTATAACAAGCCTTATCTTACAATTTATAACAAGGCAATTTTAATTGTTTTTAAAAATTGACAGAAGAAAAACAAATCTAAAATATATTAAAAAGAAAAGTTGTAAATTGTTTTTTTTTGTTTACTCAAAATTACATAAAGTGGAAATGTCCAGTTTTAAATCTAGACCCCTCAATTGGTCCAACAGCAGACAAGTTTACTTCACTAAATTATGAAATTTTGCCACTATTAACATTTAAAATTCATAGGCTAATTAAATTTATATTGGTGACTTTATATAGTCTGATGAAGCAAAGTTGAGCCAAAATGGATTATTTAATCGACTTAATTCCCTTTTTAGTCTAAGGATAATCCACATGTTAGTAGAGAACATTATTTCCAAAATAGTTGGAGTTTTAATGTTTTATCTACAATAAAAGACGATAAAGTTTTAGCATTAAAATTTTATGATATAAATTTAATAAATGGTGATAGATATTGTCACCTTTTAGAAGCAGTTATACGATCGGCGTTAAATCTTCAAGAAATGGAGAGGCAGCTTCAGATTGGTATGAGTGATTTTTATTTTTAGCGATTAAAGGCGATTTTTATTTTTAGCCTTTTAATTAAACTTTTTGTTTGAAATTGGTTGTATTGTATAATTTAAATAAACAGTTGCTATTGAAAATGAAGACAATTTATCCAAACAAGTCATCTTCTGAAAGCATACCACCATAACAGAGGTTGAGTAGTTTATGTTTATTCACAAACTAATTATTACATAATCTTCGTAGGTACATCAGTAGAAGAAATATTTGAAAATTTAATTATTATGCATAATAGGGAACTTGCATAAAATTTTAAATTCGAAAAAAATGCCTTAAATCATAACAAAACATAATTTAAAATATATATCAAACAAAAAAAAGTTGTTTTTGTCTTTAGTTTGGCCCCTAAAAACGATTAAAATCGAGAGAAAATTCAAATTATAGCAGCCAGTCCAAAACGCGGCCTCATTGGTCGTGACGTCATATAGTCAGAATGTTCAAAGATTGGCACTATTAATTCATTACGTTTAACATTCGTTTACTTGTTATAGTAATTTTATGGTGTATTTCAGTCTTATAAATCTTTAGATAGTTGCTGTGAACTATATATTTAATAATATTTGAGTGTTTTTGTTCAGATATATTTTTTAAAATGACCGAAGAGGGTTTTTTCCAAAGGCCAGTCTGATAACTTGCCCATTGTAAATATGTTTATGGTAGCCACATATTTTCAAAACGGTGAAAATTTTTCCCTGGGAGAAGTTCGGGAGTTAAAGCAGATAAGTAAGTAGCATACTCCTATTACATTAATTTTATTGTGATTATTATTCTCATAATAAGTATTTAATGATAAAACTTAGTACTTTATATTAAGTAGGGTCAATATTATATGTTTATGCTATTGTACTGAAATTTAATCCAATTAACTTATTCATCGTTTGCATTTAGATCTGGCAGAGAATCATATGGAGATGCAGCTGTAGGATGGGTTCAAGTAAAAAGAAATAACATGATCTGTATTGTAAGGGCAAAAATAACACCTGAACATAATGTTAAGAAAAAACAGTATGCTGTAAGTTGTGAAATTAATGAAGAAACCTAGGAAGTACTTGATCTAAAGTGATCTTCACATACATGAAGAGCTTGAGCAGTAACTGAAATATCCCTTCGACAGGCACGTAACCAGTTTAAACGCCGTTTTTTATCGACTGGTAATCTAATAAATATTTTGTTGGGGGTTTTAATGGTTGTACTTTTACACAATGGTACTAAACAACACTTGTAGTATTTACTTTTACTTTCCATAGTAAAAACACACACAATTCAACACTCTCTCTTCAAAAACTGTATTAAACACCAATATAAACAAAATAGTTTATACTTTTATACGAGACAGGAGACCTGACATACAGAAAATACTACCAAGTGACGTCACAAGGGTTCGCGCGCTTTTTCGATCGTTTGAAATGATTTTTATACACGGAAGATTTTAAATTTGTATTGCTAAGTCATTATGAGTTTTTGTTATTGTTTGTTTATTTTGTTATTGTTGTTATTGTTTGTAAATAAATTATAGAATTTAACATCATCGTATTTAATGCCAATATTTGTGCTTATTTAAATTGCTTGATCATTATAATTTTTATTATTTATGCCAAAACATTTTGTAAAAACAAGAATACATATTTTTCGTGTTTTTTTTTGGTTAGTTTTATTGTATTAGTGAAAGATATATTTTGATGTTAATGTAGTTATATGTATTATCTATGTAGAATTTATTTGAAATTTTATGTAATGCATTTTGGCTTTGGAGACTTCAATGCCAAGGTTGGCACTGACAACACCAACCTAGGACACGTTATCGGAAAGCATGGCACTGGCCAGAGAAACAACAACGGCGAACGCTTCATTGAATTATGTGGTAACCATGACCTAATCATTGGAGGGACTTTGTTCCCACACAAAACAATCCACAAGGTATCATGGAAATCGCCAGATAACCGCACCTACAATCAAATCGACCACGTTGCAATCAGTAAGCAATGGAGAACATCTCTCTTAGATGTCAGATCATGGAGAGGCGCAGATGCGGCCAGTGATCACTACCTGATGATGGCCGAAATTAGATTCAAAATAGCTAGGAATAGAAAAGAACTGAACAAACCTATTCGAAAAAAGTTCAACATTGAGAAACTACAAAATAACGAGACGAAAGTAGAATTCGCACGACAGCTGAGATCCAAAATCGACGAAAGACAGGACAAAAATTGGGAAACGATTAGCAAAGCCCTTGTGGAAACAAGTGAAAACGTGCTGGGCCTAAAGAAAGACGTAAAGAAAGAGTGGATTACGAGAGAAACGTGGAACAAAATAGAACGTCGCAAACACATTAATCTAGAATTACTAAATTCCAAGACAGCAGCAGAGAAGAACCGACTTAGAGAAAGTTATAGAGAAGCGAATAAAGCTGTCAAGAAGGCAGCAAAGAAAGACAAAAGAAAGTGGGCAGAAAATCTTGCCGAAGAAGCGCGAGTCGCCGATGAACATCAAAACATGAGACAATTATATAATATCACTAAACAACTAGCCAATAAAAGATATACTACCCACCAACCAATTGTAAAAAGTGCTACAGGTGAAGATATTACAACGCCACAGGAACAAGTCAAAAGATGGCATGAATATTTTAGCGAATCTCTAAGTGCAGTCCCAACACCACCAGAAGACGCAGAAAACCTAATACCCAATATCCAACTGAGAATTAACACCAACGAACCAACAACGCAAGAAATAGAAATGGCCATAGAAAAACTGAAAGCACACAAAGCAGCCGGCCCTGACAATATTCCACCAGAGTTGTTAAAAGCTTGCCCAGGTACAGTGGCAGAGCTAATCCAACCACTCTTGAAAAGGGCTTGGAGAGAGGAAAAGTTCCCCAAAGAATGGAAAACGGGATTAATAATAAAGATACCAAAAAAGGGTGACAGAAGATATTGCGAAAACTGGAGAGGAATCACACTTCTGAATACTATAAATAAATTAACAGCAATAATTATAAACAACCGACTAACAAAGAGTGTAGAACCAATGTTGAGGAAGGAACAAGCCGGTTTCAGACCAAACAGATCATGCGTGGACCAAATTAACACACTAAGAATAATTGTAGAACAGTCACAGGAATTCAACTCTCCTCTCTTTGTGTGCTTTGTGGACTTCAAGAGAGCTTTTGACACGCTCACACACACGGCCATATGGAAAGCACTGCAGGAAATAGGAATACCAGAAAAAATAGTAAATCTCATCAAAGAACTCTACAGTGACACAGAAAGCAAAATCCTACACAACGGCATAACATCTGACCCAATAGCTATGCTAAACGGAGTAAAGCAGGGCTGTGTTTTATCCCCTATACTATTTAACATTGTACTGGACTCCGTACTAACAAAGGTAAACTCTAATAGAGGAATTTACTGGGGATTAACAAACAGACTGGAAGACCTAGATTACGCTGATGATATAATATGCCTCCTAGCACATACAAAACAGGACATGCAACTCCAAGTAAACAAAGTACAAGAAGAATCAAAGAAGGTTGGTCTAGAAATAAACACCAACAAAACCAAAGAAATGCGATTTGGTACCAGAAACAACCAACCTATTATTATCAACGACCAGAAAATTGAGAGAGTAGCGGAATTTGTATATCTGGGCAGCATAATTGACTGTAATGGGAGTACAGAGCGTGATGTACATGAAAGAATAAATAAGGCTCGCAACGCCTACAACATGCTTAACAACATATGGAAATCCAGGATTTACCCAACGAAAACGAAACTAAAAATCTTCAACACAAACGTAAAAGCTGTATTACTGTATGGCTGCGAAACGTGGAAGATATCAGCACCCATAGTACACCAATTACAAGTTTTCATTAATAGAGCGTTACGAAAAATCCTTTGTATATTTTGGCCTAACCGAATCTCCAATGAAAATTTATGGAACCAAAGCAACCAAGAAAATGTCATAAAGCAAATAAGGCGAAGAAAATGGAGATGGCTGGGCCACACACTCCGTAGACCGCCAAATGACATTGCCAGGACAGCACTGGATTGGAATCCCCAAGGCCGACGGAAAGTAGGCAGACCTAAGGGAACTTGGAGAAGGACAGTACTGGACGAAGGGAGAACAATGGGAAAATCCTGGCTTGAAATCAAAGCACTAGCCAGAAATAGAGTTCGCTGGAGACACTTTGTGGAAGCCCTATGTTCCTCTTAGGAATCTTGGGACTATATATATATATTTTGGCTTACATTAATATTAATATAATTTCCTTACCTGCTCTTTCTGTTTTCATAGAATCCCACACATTACAATTGAAATCATCATATCCAGCTAGAAGTAATCTACCAGATTTGCTAAATGCGACGCTAGTTATGCCGCAAATGATGTTATCATGGCTATACATAGCCAACTCTTGGTCCGCCCTAATGTCGAACAGTCTGCATGTAGCATCGTCGCTACCTGTGGCAAAGGCGAAACCATTGGGGAAGAACGTAACTGCGTTAATGTCTGACTCGTGACCAGGGAATGTCTGTTTGCACAAACCTTCTCGAATATCCCAAAGTTTTGCAGAAGCGTCACATGCCCCTAAAAATAAAATATACTGTGATTATGATCAAACATTTAACCTACATTTTTTGTAAATTATTGAGATATAAAAAATTTTGCTTGCTACAGTATTTTACATTAAAAAAATATTACATTAATGTGTTTCCTTAAATGTATGATGTCTTTATTAAATTAGAAGAACGTGTAAAAAACTTATTTTTTAATATCAAAAACTTTTTTTAAACAAGTTGGTTTTTGATCCTAAGAAGTTATAGAAATTTGCAAGGCTTTTTAAAGGTTTGCTCAAAGATACTAAGTGTTACTCATCAGTATTCTGCGAATTAATGTGACATACAATTATCCACAACATTAATTGTTACTTTTGCCACTTTTGTTCACATTAATTTGCACAACACAGCTTATATGCCTTGTTCTGAAGTCTACAAGATGTATTTTTATAACGTTCATATAAATCAGTCACAAAAATAACATTTATTTTGTTGTAATTATAACTGTCTATACCCTAAGGTAAATAACCTTCAGATTCCCAATATCCCCATCAATAACAATGTTGGCACAAATTATAATGTCTCTGAAATCACTCTCTTGATATTTTTGATTTTTCTGAAATCACCCTCATTGATATTTTTGATTGCATAAGTTCTTTTCTAAATAATATTACTTCTAGACCTGATGATTGTTGTATATATTGTGGTCGGCAACCAACACAACAATGTTGTTCTCAATTTTCTTTTAAAAACGTGTGTTTGCACTGTTACAATGGCATTACATACTTTACTTAATATCTCATTAGTCATCTTTATTTTCTGATGTTTGGAAGGAGAGTTTTGTTGTATCGATATTCAAATGTGGTCAGAAAGAAAAAAATGAAAGTTATCTAAGTATGTATATGCATTCAGTCTGCAATACCTAAACATTGTTCAATAGTTTGATAGCTAAACAGGTATCTTGGCTGTGCAATGGGCTTATCTCAGAGTATCAGTAAAGTTTTTGTACAAAAAAAGCTACAGCTACTTATTTAGTTTAATATCAGTCTGAGCTTATGAAGCAAATCGAGGATCAAAAAAAGCTTTTGATAGTGTTGATCATCAAATTCTTCTTGTAAAATGTTGGATTTCATGTCAAGTTTGTTGAATAGATCGAAAATTTGTTGTCAGGTTGTAGTAAAATAGTTAAGTTTAATAAAGTATTTCTTAATATTAAGTATTTAGGACAATGTTTTTGTTGATAAGTATCAACATCTTAGAACCTGATTGTTGTACTTTTGCTATTTCGAATTTAAACTATTTTCAAAGGTCTACTGTATACTCCAATATACATTTTCTGCATACTAGTTACAGGTATGCTTTTTAAAATTAAGACAATTAAATTTATTATTTAATAAAAAGTGTACTTATTATCTTTTAAAATAGAGAGAAAACCTATTGATATCTAAAGTACCTGAGAGAAATCAGTTTACTTACCTGATACAAATGTACGCATGTCAGGTGACAAAGAAAGAGACATTACATCTCCTGTGTGTCCTAAGAAAGAAGCAACTTGCTGCCCAGTCTCAATATCCCATAGGGCACAAGACATATCTCCTGAACTAGTCACAATTTGGTTGTCATCGAGGAAACGACAGCAAGATAGATAACCAGTATGACCAGGTAATTCTCGGCTTACCCGAACATTGCCTTCTCTAGTCTTTAGGCTATAGATAGAGCATATATTATCTAAACCTCCACAGGCAACAAAATTTCCAGATGGTGCATAAGCACATGTCATCACCCATGATGATCTGAGAGGGATTGCATGTACCTAAAAAATGATTACTAGTAAAATTTAAAATGAAACAAAAATCTTTTATACAAATCTACTTTTTTATCCACTAAAAAATTTTCGAGGGCGATTGCATGTGTCTATAAAAAATATTACTAATTAATTTAAAAAAATTAGAATATACAAATTTACAAGAATTTAAATTAAAAGTTCTTGCAACCATAATATTATTATAAAACAAGTGTTTATCAAATTAAAAAAAAAATTGTTATTTATATACTTGTTATTGACCTCTTTCTACTTTAAAAATAAATGTATTGAGCAGGTGAATGAAGCATGAAGATGAATGAAGCAGGTTTGATCAGTCAATTGTTGACAAATGAAATAAGTCAACTACCTCATTAGTTTATTAGAAAATGTTTAGCTTTTTTATGTTTTAAAAGCATCCCCAGTTCTAAAACAATTTGCAGCTTTTTCCGATGTTGTGAAAACTATAAGATTATTTAATATAAAAACAGAACAAACTCAAAGAGAAAAAAACTTACTATTCATGAATTTAATTGTCAGGTGATTTTATTGTCACAGATGGCTTTATTAGGCTATGTTGTTTGAACCCTTGCATGGCCATTTTCAATAAGTAATTAAAGTGCTCATTGAAAATGACACATAGCCACAACATTTAAGAAATAATTAAGTGTTTTATTTATAACATACCAACAAACCCAGGAGTTTGTTGTTTCTATTTAAAGATTCGCGGTTAGGAAATAACATGACCTCTCCACTGTCCCCAGTAGCAGTAGTGCAGTGACTTGTGTATAGACCTATCTGAGGTACAACTGATCTATCCGAGGGATCAAAAATGGCAGTGGGCTTTTAGAAATGCAACCTTCCACTATTTCAACTAGAATAGAAATTATCTGGTTGACAATACACAAGATCAAGTATGAGGCAAAACTCACAAAACCTGAATTATTACAAATTGCGAAAATGAACAGAAAAGAGAATGTGTATATAATTGATGAGCTACTAAGAGAACATGTCCATGCAGTGTTGAGACTACTTTCTTATCACTGCGAATTCAACGCTATTGAATTAATTTGGACAAACTGCAAGTCATATTACAATAAGTATATTGGTAGAGATAAACAATCTGGTAGTGCTGTTAAAAATGTGTGGAAAGAGGCACTAAACCAATGTGACACAAAAAATTGAGAAAAATGTGTGAAACATATCCATGAAAAAAATATGGTTGACATTAACATTTAGTCAATCATAATAGACACTAGTAATATGAATGGCTCAGATTCTGACAGTGAAGAAATCTTAAATTTACGATTGTATACGATGCTTCAATAAATATTTAAAATAAATTGTTTTTTTAACCCAGCTCAAACGATTTCTATTTTTCAATTTATTATACATAGATTTCTTTATCTGAATTTTGTTGTGTTAATTTTAGCAAAGTGATTACATAGTCTATTTAACCATAAACCATATTTAACACTGAATAAACAAAATGATCAAGATGATGGATGCCAGAGGTAGATTTGTATTAAGTTTTTTAGATTTTCTTGTAGTGTCTACCTGTTTCGGATCTTGGCGACTATCATGAAAATTTGTACTTTGTAGACTGCTGTTCTGAACATATTTGGTTATTTCCATCTAATTTTCCCTGTAAAATTAGTTGCAGCATATCTTTTGCTGTTCCTAATGATGTGACCAATTTATTCTATTTTGTCTGTTTTTATTGTGGTTAACAGCTTTTTTCTTTTCGCATTCTTAATAAAACATTCTCATTAGTAACCTGGCCAATATAAGAAATCTTCAGGATTCGACGATAAAGCCACATTTCGAAAGCATCAATGTTCCTGCAGGTAGTGCCTATGGCACAACTTAACTCCATTAAACAATATAGGAAATATATAACATTGTAGTAACCTGATTTTTATGGGTATTGATAAATCATCACATTTGAATAGCTTAGCCATTTTTTAAAATGCAGATTTGGCTTTCTGTATCCTAAGATTGATTTCTAGGGAATGTCCCAATTTTCATTAACGTTAGTACCTAGGCAAGTGTATCTTTTTACTCTTTCTACTTGTTGACCGTCCACACAGATTCATCTAAATTGCTATTCCTTCTTAGAGATACATTTTGTTTTCTTAATGTTTAGTGAAATACCATATCTCTGACTTACTTCTGTGATCTTATTCATTAACTCCTGGAGGGTTTATCACTGTCGGCGAATACCACCATGTCGTCCGCATATCTGATATTATTGATTTCTCTGACATTCTCTGTTAATTAGAATTCCGGCTTCAACATCCTCTATGGCTTCTTAAAACATTTTCTCAAAGTATATGTTGAACATTTGGGGTAATAGTATACCTTCCTGTCGGACCTCACATTTGATTTTTATATTATCCTTCTTCTCCTGCCTCTGTATGGATCGGCGATGTTTGATTTCAGTAAAGATTGCTAATAATTCTTTGATTACCGGTTTTTATTAAAATGTTTGTTAATATCTCTATTAGCTTGTAGTGCGTTACTGTACCAAACACTTTATGGTAATCAATGAAACCTGTTCAATCAATGTTCCCTTGTTAATCCCACAGTTTGTTAGCGGTATTAAATTTTTGAAGACCAGCTGTTTGTTTAACTTTATTATGTATTTTAAAAGTATCATGTTTTTCTTCCACCTCTTCACACTGTGATTTTAACCAATTTTCTTTGGCCGTTCGTATTTCGGTTCTTATTTGTTTCTGAATATTGTTGTACATTTTTTGTTGTTCTTTGATTTTTTCTTTCTTTGTATCTTGTCATTCATCCAACTGTTCTTTTTCTTTTAGATGCTCTTCTCAGATCTTGTTAAAGGCTTCACATATATTCTGGCGTAATTCTTCAGCATTATATGTTTGCTCCATGTTACTTAGCTTCTCTGAAAGAATATCTTCTGAAAGTCTTCTCATATCGCATTTTTTGTTACTATTCTTTTTTGTAACCTTAAATCTGAACCTAAATTTACCAACAACAGGAACATGATCTGACGACATGTCAGCACCATATATTTGCCTATATTCAATAAAACACTTTAATTTCTGATTACTAGGGTTTAAATATTTATTTACTGTAGATATTATTGAAAAACCTATAGATTTCCAAAAATTCACGGTAAATATCCATAAAAATCACGTTCATAAATGTAATGTGTAAGTACACAGTTTTCGAAATGCAATAAATGAAATAAAAGAGAAGTATTATAAAAACGTCAATTGTAATATTAGCCATTTTCTAATTCGTACAATAATTCTTATAACCGACATTTATGTTTGACTCACATGTTTTCGTTTATTTCCTATAATAAGAATGATGACGATGTGCAAAGATTCGGCGTAGCGACTGTATGCGTACTGGTTTTGTCACTGGTATTATAATACAGTCTGTAATTGTTTTATTTGTGGTTTCAGTTTTGTTCCGTTCGGCGGTTGGTCGCTAACAGTGTGCTCCTCGAAGATGTGCGCTTTTAGACTGGTTGGCTTTTCAGTAACATCATAAATATGTATTTTATTCTATTGGCGTAAAATAATTTTTATCGGAGTTTGTTTAATAAGCTAAGTGCAATTTAATATGAATTCAAACATATGATAAGAATATTTTTCGTCACTAAAATGGAATTCACATTTTAAAAGTTTATCATTATCGTGTTGATTTACATTAATTATATTTTCGTCAATCATAATGTCCAAATCTATTGTTTTTGCAATAAAATCGTTTTCAATTGCAACTAATTTGCATTTAAAATAGTCATTGTTACATATAAAGCAATTATTGACGATGCGACGGCTTACACAAATTCATTATTTTGAACCAATAATATGTTCAGCTTAGCTTATTTAGATTTCCAAACCTTAAGCAAGGTGACTTTTTTCTACATACAAATAAAGAATATTTACTCTTAATATCAGACTAAGTTATTTAAAAAATTAAAAAACTTGTCGCAGCTGACCACCACCTCATGTCACAGCTGACCAAATTTGACAAATATTTAACTTTGACTAAACATGACGACATTGTAATTACCAGTTGTAAGAACTAGTCAATGGGTAAGGTGAACAATGTTGTTCATCTCAGAAATAACTTATGAATCAACAAATCTACAGGAAGCAATATAATAAACAGCTTTACAAATCAGTTAATCTATATTAGCGGAGCACTAACTAATTCGGAGGAAGAACGCTTCCATATTAGACATTTGCAATTTGCAAGCCTTGTTCCATTTGTGGTATTTGTTCTCCTGATCTGATCGTTTCTGAGTTGTAATATGTATAAGCCATTTGTGTTCGCTATGTTCAGTATTGCTAGGCATATTTATGTTTTATCTTGTGATTTTGGCTAACACGAATTTATGTTACAACTCCTAGCTCCAAAAATGTCTAAAAAAATACAGGAGTTCAATTCAAAAATAGATAGTTCCTTCTGGCGACATAAAAATCATCCCAAAGTAATAAACAGCGACTAATTCAATTTAAGTAATAGGTAGTTTTACAACAGAAATGACATCCTTCCCTTCTATTATGATTATAACCTATTATAATTATATTTATATCCCTTAGGTAGTATTACCTTAACATTAAACCACATGTCAATACATGAAACATAAATCCGTTTATTAAGCAAACAATTCTAAAAAGATGACCAGAGCCAGATTGTATTTAATATAGATGCATTTAAATTTGATGAGTGTACTGGATGCGTCTTTTACCATTCAAATGAAAATATATCCAAAACATTAAAACTTTAAATGTCTATTTTCACGGTTGACCTCATCGCAATTCTTCATGCTTTGAGATATATTAATACCCATCACAAGATAATACCAAAGAATATAGACGCTTATAAGCTATAAGCTATAAGCGTCTATATTCTTTGATAATACTCTAAGATTCCACTGCAATATCACTACATTCATAACGTAGTTAATCAAATTCACATTTTAACATTCGTTTAAAATTAAGAGAATCCATTGGCAATTGGTTGCGTCATAAAGTGGTCGCAAATATTTTTAATTCAATTTTTGAACAAAATTTTTAATTCTATCATATATTTTTTAAATGAAATGCGCTGCTCATGACGTATGTATATGGTCGCATATTAAGGTTGTGAGTCGTTAAATATGCGATGTATCAAAGATAAAGTAAAATAGAGCTAGCACGCAACGATACTGGTTTGAAGTGTCAGTTGTGAGTTTCTAAAGCGTGTGTCGATAGATAGTGCACTAATACAAATAATATCACTTGTCAAACAAGTCTTGTTGCGCGCTAATTCTATTTTGTTAACACCTGACAAACCTAATTTTTTGTGACCATTTTTTCTCAGGCAACCTTATATCATCGTATTAAGAAAAAAAGCTTTAATTTAATATAAAAAACATGCATATACGTCATGACATATTTTGCACTTCAGTAAGACATTAAAAAGAGCAAGGAACAAACCTGGTTTATACCCAGTGCATAAATACACAGAGTTGGGTACATTAGAGAATGTGATTTTCGATTATACAAACTTCCAAATCCTAAATAAAACGTTATACAAAAATCTACCACAGTCGATTTACTTGATACGTACTTATTAAGAAAAGAAAAATACAAAAAGAATTAGATAAAATATAAAAAAACCACATAGAGTGCCTAAAACTCCGAGGTGTTTTAGGGCTTAAGCCCCTAAAAACAGAAACCCACGCGCACACACATGTATGCGAGCACCATCGAGCAAAAAGATAAAAGAGGGAATGTAAAGGTAGTGGGGACAACAATATTGTTAGACAGGAAGTGCCATCTTGAGAGGCCACTTTAAACAAGGAAAGACAGTCTCTTTCCTTGTTTAAGAAGTCAAATTTAGTTTGGTTATGTTATTGTTTGTCCCAACTGTCACATGAAATTTTATTTATATTGAAGTTTTTTACCAATTATGTCACTTTTTAGACTATTATCGTTAATATTTAATTAAAGCTTTCTTGTCTGAAAAATATTTTACAGGTATTGTTAACAAGTGTTGGAAAATTTAAATTTAGCGCCTTTGCATTTCCGGATATGTCCGCCATCAGAGGCCACTTTTTGGTCTCCTTTTCATAACGATTAGATTCCCTCTTTTATCTTTTTGCTCGATGGCGAGCACACACACACATCATTCTTAATATTATTACTAGACGACTGTGAGTTTTCTAAAGACTGATCTATTATGAGATTATCCGACAGGTCAGGCATAATATATATAACTATATGTTCAACGAAACTAAACAAGAAAAGTTTTTCAGAAAGAAAACATGCCGTGAGTGATATGGGAAATCAACCTTTTCCGATTCAGATGAGATGATGAGAGCCACTACACACTATATTATAATTTTTCAGCAGACTCATCTGTTCTGACTTATTCACAGTATTTTTAATGGCTTGTGTATTTCTGAATTTTTTTACAACAGAGATGTTGGTCCATTTTCCAGTCATGTACAAATGGCGTCCGTTGTATGAGATAATTTTGTTACCATTTTGTATACAGGGTGGTGAATCGTCAAACGGGCCATAGGAAATTCAATGGGAAATTCTAAATTGTTGAATTCCTGCTTCCCTAATTACATCAAATGATTTTACAACAAAATTCATAGGAAACTATTCGTAGAGGACTGAAATATGTATTAAAAACACATGTTAAAATTGTTCTACGAATTAAATGTATTCCAAAATTTTGTAAAAATATAACACATTTTTCAGGCGACCCCTTAAAGTCAGGCCATACGAAGTACAATAATGTGTATGACATGTTGCGTTTGGTCATATTTATGTTCCTGATATTTGACAATATTTGAATTGCCAAAATTTTTATTTTGTGATTTATTATTTAAAAAACAATATAGCTGATTAAAAAATGTATCCAGTTGAGGAGAAAGTAGCAATAATAAAAATGTTTTATTCAGACATAATAAATTTACAGATATTGAAGCATTAAAAATGCAAATTATTGAAGAGTGAAAAATACAGCCACGTATTCTGGCTAATGTTAAGACGAGAATTTTACAATCGAATTTTACTGTTTAGTACAAAATGGCTTATTGTTTGAACATTTGTTATAGTTTAATGTTTAGAAATTATCATAAATTATTATTAGGAAAAATCACAGTAAAACTATATTGAATTTCTTTGAATTATTGTATAACCTGGAATTTAATTGGAGTTTTTATGATATTTTGTGTTAATAACGATCTGGAAGTGCTCGCACAATTGCCTGAGTAAATTATTGCGATTTTTCACGAACTGAATACATTTCATTAATTTTATTGCTTTGTAAATAATATAATTTATTGTTTAAAAAGTACTATTTATTATTCAGTAGTAGTAGTACTATTTGTGATAATTTACGTATTTTAATATTTGTGTTTTTAATAACAAAATAAAAATACTGACAATTGAAATATTGTCAAATATCAGAATCATCAATATGAATAAACGCATCATGTCATACACAATCTTGTACTTCGTGTGGCATGACTTTAAGGGGTCGCCTGAAAAATGTATTATATTTTTACAAAATTTTGGAATACATTTAATTCGTAGAACAATTTTTACATTTGTTTTTAATACATATTTCAGTCCTCTACAAATAGTTTCCTATGACTTTTGATCTAAAATAATTAGGGAAGCAGGAATTCAACAATTTAGAATTTTCCATTGAATTTCCTATGGCCCGTTTGGCGATTCACCACCCGGTATTTGTGCCGTTTAAAGTATACCGTAAATTGAGGGTAGTGTTTGATTGTTTTCCAGTTATGTAGATGACGGAAATGTTATAGTGGTAAGGGTGCTTCGGCTGTGCTTATTGCATTCAAAATATGCCGCCTTGAAAAACCATTTCACTGCGTCCAGTTTCTGTACTGATGAAACTGCTGCCACATATCAGGCGCTAAAGTTTCTTACATAAATTAAAATAGCTACACAACGTAGCGTAACGCGTAAGGCAATATATAAAACTCCGAGGTGTTTTAGGGCTTAAGCCCCTAAAAACAGAAACCCACGCACACACACGTATGCGAGCACACACACATCAGTCTTAATATTCTTACTAGACGACTGTGGTCAGGCATAATACTATATGTCCAACAAAACTAAAAAAGAAAAGTTTTTCAGAAAGAAAAATGTTTCATTAATATGACATGAGTGTTATGGGAAATCAACCTTTTCCAATTCAGATGAGATGATGAGAGCCTCTACACACTATATTATAATTTTTCAGCAGACCCATCTGTTCTGACTTATTCACAGTATTTTTAATGGCTTGTGTATTTCTGAATTTTTTTACAACAGAGATGGTCAATTTTCCAGTTATTTAGATGACGGAAATGTTATCGTGGTTAGGGTGCTTCGGTTGTGCTTATTGCATTCAAAATATGCCACCTTGAAAAACCATTTCACCGCGTCCAGTTTCTGTACTGATGAAACTGCTGCCACATATCAGGCGCTAAAGTTTCTTACATAAATTAAAATAGCTACACGAAATAGTGTAACGCGTAAGGCAATATAACTTACCTAAAGTCTCTACTAAATGCAGTTCTTACTATAAAATATCTTATATTAGAGGTTTATTGTATATGTCAATGACCTCCTGAGAATATTCAGAAAGGCTTAGATTTGCTTGATATTGGAAACCCTAAGCTCAATATTGAGCTATATTTATTTAAGGCAACAATAATTTCATTCCTTACACAATTATCCAAACTCTCAAAATTTACTCTTTACTATATCTTTTTAACCCAGAAATAGGATATGTTTAACATATAGCCACCTGCTATTCAAAATTCTGTAATGTAATGTCTTCCATTGCTTTAGTTCTGAACTAAAAAATAAACTATAAAAATGTATACCCTTTTAAATTCATGAATCAAGGCTGACATATCAGTGGCTTTCTAGTTAAAGATAATGGTTAAATATATTTATTTTCTGACAGTAAATATTTATCAGAAATAATATTCTGAGAAATTACTTTGTTTAAAGAATGATTATATTTATGAAAATAAAGTGGTTTTTTACAACTGTACTTGAATCCTTTTATGTTAAATAAAACATTTTAACTACGTGAGCATAAAACAAATAATGCGCATTTCCATTAAATTTATTTATCAAATTGACACATGCCTTGCCAAACAGCTTTCTCAAGAAGGAATTTTGAACTAAATTATTTCATATCACTACACAAATATTTTTTAGTTTGAAATTACCCTTCTGCAGAAGCTAATGTTTAGTGGAACATAATTTCAAGATGATAAATAGATTTAGTGAAGTTAAGTACGTTTATCTGTTCTAATTTTATATCATTGGTTTCTACATACCTTATTTGTGGTGTGACTGTCCCACACAATAAGTTTTCCATCTTGTGATGCTGATACAAGATTCCTTGAGTCTGAGCCCCAGTGCATAGCATATATCTTGGCGAGATGGCCTCTGAGAGTACGTCTAGTCCGCATCTGCACTCGGCCAATGGGCTCCAGACTGGCAGTAGCCTGTACCAAAGATGTGTCACAAGCCGCTTTGCGAGCATCCTGAAATTTTAATTTTATGAGTTAAAAAATGAGACAATTTAGAAATTAAATTGAGTTAAATATTTGCTTAATAACTAAACAATTCTTTTTTTTATACAAAACGCATTATATTTTAGCACAATCGAATGAGAATTCGTGAGATCCGTTTCAATTGTTTATAATCTTTTTAATGGTTATAAATTTTGCAGGGCCAGAACTTTTTAAAAAAAGGATAGAGATCTAATTCTATCTCTTATATATATACATAAACTTTATATAGGTTGGCCTACGAAAATGAAACAGGCATTATTTTCCATTATTTTACTTTGACCCCTAAGCCAGGGTAAGAATCACCATAATATTTGTTATTGGCAATGCCTTTACAATTTGCTATACATTAGTCTTTACATTTTAAAATTCGGTCCAATACTGTAAAAAAATACATTTTAAAATTAATATTTTCCCTGGTTACTTATATGTAACGAAAGGAGGTAATTGATAACGAGACTTACTGCAATTTTCGTAAAACCGACTGACAACTATATCAAGCCGACGTGGAATATTGTTTAAGCAGGGTAAACCCTGCCGGGCTAAGACGACAAGTCATACAATGGACACAACGGCATCCCATGAAAACGGGGATAGTGACGAATTCCAATGGGAAAGTTTCCAGGTGGTATAACAACCTTAAAAATCAAATCAAAGGACTGTAAGACGTCGGACGAAAATTGTATTTCCCCAAAAGATCAGGTGAGTAGGGCGACTATCGCAAAGCTAGGACTGAATAAAATAGGGAACTGATGGCAAAAAGAGAATCGTGAACAAGACATTGAAAGAAGATAAAATGAACCGCAGAAATGTCCAGGCTCCATAAAGTTCTTGATAAGGACCATCAAATAAGTATTTCTTTACTCCAAATAAAGTCAGGGGAATACACTTGAAAATGGGTGTAAAATCTTGGGGAATGGTATACAGTGAAAATAAGGGCTTGTAAATGAAAAGCCTCTGTTTCTGAACGCAACATAAATCTCACTGGTAGATTATATCTGGTCAAGCACATGGTAAACATTTTTTTTGTAGGCATGTAAACATAATATGTACTGTAGGGGCATGCTCTAATAGGGCTGAAATACACTGGAAAACATAGCTACAGAAAGAGTCAACCTTATTTTGCATGACTGTGGAACAATAGGTCACAGGCATCAGACACACAAGCTGCTACAGGCTTTCAGAATTCTGAAACTGGCATCAGGAATAAAAGGGGGACGTATAATAAGCCAATTTGCTCCAATACAGATAATTCACAATAGGGCACAATTCTGTTCAATATATTGGGAGACATTAAAAATCATTCGATAGACATCAAACATTTGATAGATATTACAAAATTTGAAGCAAATGCGATGTCACTTTCTCTGTTAAAGAGACATTTATGCCTATATAAGTCTTGTTAAAGCGTTAAAATTACATATGAGGTATGAATTGCACATTTACATAAACTTAATAGTAATACAAGATCCTATTTCCCTTAAACTATGTTTTATTATAACATACTAAAAGCAGTTATACATTTAGTAATAAATTATTGTTTTAACAATTAAGGTACCAGCGCTAATAAGTTCAAATAATTTTGATCGTTTGTTGTAGACACTAATAGTAAAAATGAATAGGAAATAGATAACAACATTATTGTCTATTGAGAAAGTTGCTATCCATGTCAATACATTTTAAAAGTTTTGGAATGTACCTCAAATTTGAATATAACTAAAACCTATATGGAAGAAAGTTAACTAACTTTGATGCTGATTAAAAACTGCATTTTTACATGTGCTATTAACAGTTCTACAAACAAAAATGTGTTCAATAAATGAATTATATTTGTTTGATACTTCCGTAACCAATTAATGATATCTAAATTTTAATTAGTTTCAAGTTAGAAGGGTAACTTCAACAGTTATATTTTTAATTGAGATTCCAATACCTGTTGTCTCTATAAATAAATATCTTTAACATAATATGCTCATTTTTTCCAAAATAGGGAAATTTTGTTTTCAATGGTCTAAATAAATAGAATGTCGCCCTAATCGAGATTCCAATACCTGATGTCTCAATAAATAAATCTCTGGTTAAGTTCAATAAGGGTACATGTCACTTTTTTGTGTTTTGTGTTAGAAGGCCAATGTATGCAAGTTTGTAAACTCAATACTGTATTCATGTTAAGAATATAAAATCTTACACACGTCAAATATTTAAAAAACCTCAATTAAAATTATGTTATTCCTGAATTGAATAAAAGGAATTATTTGTCAGTATTTTTTAATTTTATTTTTAAATTCCTTTTCAGACAAGTTTCTTATAGTGTCATCTTCAATATATGTAAAAATGGCTTATATATGAGTGCTCTAACCACCGTAGATACAAATATGATGGACATATGTTACTAAGAAATAGTAAGGAAGTCAATCTGTAAATAGACCTATTATGTCCAGTTTCGTCTCTTTTGGTAACTATGGCAGCACTGCATGATTAACTAAACGAGACCAATGTCAGATGAAACTAACCGAGTACAAAGGTTGTTTTTACATATCTGCTATAAATCTTCACAATTGTGTATTTTTCTAGAAAGTCAACTCGCAATCCTGCTAACTGGCAAAGAAATATATGGCCTATAAAAAGGTAGCTGTCCCTGCTGAGTTTTATTCAGCCTGCAGCTGCCGTAGAAAATGTAATGTATATATATATATATATATATATATATATATATAATATATATAATATATATATATATATATATATATATATATATATAAGGATCACTCAGACGAGTGGTGGGTTCTTATATCGGTCTCTAGGTGGAGAAATAAAAGACAAAGTTGATAGGCTACTTTATCTATTTTGAAGACGTTTCGCTTTCGAGTTTTGAAAGCATTGTGTGGTTCTCATATTGTAATAATTTTTTAGATGAACTGATGATGCTTTCAAAACTCGAAAGCGAAACGTCTTCAAAATAGATAAAGTAACTGAAAAAGACAAATTTTTCATAATTAATTTTATATTTTTTTTATGGTGCAGAACTGACGACTGTTGATACAGTAAAGTACATTGCACCTAGCATACAATAAATTAATAACTTCAAATCTTGCAGGTAATCATCTGCAAACTACTGAACAATTCAAAAAAAATTAAAATATATGTAATCTGGATTGTGAATTTTGTGAATTTGACATTCATACTATTTGTGTACAGCTAAAAACTCAAATTTACTAATTTTAAACCCAATAATAAAAAAAAATTTAATAATCTACTATAGCTTAACGTAGTGGCCAGGAAATTGCATCATCTATTTTTAAATTAATAAAGGACCCCATACCTGATGAAGTAGAAGATGTAAACTTTTATAGTAATTGTTGCAGAAGTCAAAATAGTAAAATTTATATTACCGTTCTGTTTTCGGAAGTCATGAGAATGTAAAAAATTAAGAAAGAATGTACTCAAATTAAACATAAGTTTCTAGAGGCGGGCCACTCGCATATGGAGAGTGATATTGAAAAGACATTTTGAGATAGAAATTCCGAAAGACTGGATAACTTTGATGCAAATGATCAACCAGAATCTCTCTGGTAAACTTGACGTTGGCGTCGTCGAAATGATTTTTTAACTTCGAAAAGTGTGTATGTAGATCGCCACCAGAACACCCAAAATGAAAAGGTCAAACTGGTTGAAAATACGAATTATGACTTAAAATCAGTGCCTTCCTGAATGTTTTACATATAAGTATACTTATTCTCCCCATGAAGACACTGTAAGGTCTTGAATTTTATAAGAAAAACACAAAGCAAAGTCTCTTTTCATCATGACAGTTGACAGTGGCAGCCTGATTAAAAATTCGCTATTTTATTTCCAAATTATAGTGGTTTACATCAGTGCAGATATAATTCATAATTCAAATTTTCACTTATTTTACATTTAAGAACAATGTCATGATCGAGAAAGTTAAAGAATTTTTTTATGAAACACATTCCACTAAAAATCGCAGTCCTTTCTTATATAAAAGTGCTTTCAGTTAAATTTGCTGCTACTTTGCAAAGAGGTAACTTTAATCATGCTGATCAAAAGTTCTTATTGGTCCAAGAGTCAGAAATGACTTGTTCCTGAGTTACAGAGTTCAAAGTATCTTTTAGTTCAAAGTATGTTTTTAGTCCATTTGCATAATACAAATTTGTAAAATATATAGGGTGTTAAAATTTCTCTTACAAAATGATTTATTTATTACTCTGAAACAGGTTGAGATATGTAAATGAAATTTGAGGTAATGGTCTCAAATTTTTTAAGAAAAAAAAATGGTATGCCACTGAGATAGTTCAAATTAATAATCAGTCTTCTTTTTTTTCACATGAGGAGCCGTTTATGCAAAAAAAATAAAACATTGTACGGCATATTTATCATTTCTTTAATATATTCTCATTATCTAATATTGGTTGTATTTGAGCAAAATATTCCTGGTGTATTCCATATTTATATTTACACACATTGCTACTACCGAGGCAGTGCTATCGCACTTTTCGCACAATTAACTTTCTATAATTTCTTGAATAAACACAAATTAAATAGTTATAATAAATATAATTTTAATAAGGTTAATTTTGAAAAAAATATTAAGTTACTAGATAGGTTCAAACCAAAACCAAACTATCATGCAGGTGATATGTGTTCCATACCCAACATACCAAAAAAAAAAATATTTATAAAGGCTCAGGTCGACTTAATCCGAATAAAATGAGTCCTTGGGTAAACCAGGAGTAATAATAGACGGCTATGGGCGTGTTACCTTCTGTATACCCAAGAAATAACTCCTACCTTGTATTCTATTATTAGTGCTACCTGTCAAATTGTAATTAGTTTTTAAAAATATTCATTATAAGAAACTATAATAATCTATCATATCATTCTAATAAATGCTTTATTATTATTTATTTAGTATACATTAGTTTTAAAACCACAAGATAAATCTTATAATACCA